TTTGAAAATAGAGTCATCCAAGCCTTGTCTTATTATCTCATCATCCTCCTCCTCATCACTACTCAAACCACCAAATAATTCCTCAAAGATTTTTTCTTCTAATGTTAATTTACGATTACGTTGAGCATTTTGATCACGTTTTACCGAATAATTTTTTTTAAATACTTCCGCTTCACCCATGTGAAAAGCAAAAGTACATTCTAAACTACTAGGATATACAAATCGTTTCATTATAGTTGAAAAATCATGACATAGTGAATTCGCAGTGGTTCGAATGTTGATATAATTTCCTACTAATGCGGTTGGTTTTGGCTTTGAGAATTTAAACAAATATTTTGATGGAGAAAATTTGAGGGATATCGTAATTTGTGCTTGTGACTCTTCAATTTGAGATATGGAAAGATGTGGAATTTGTGTAGTAGAACGAATCATATCTATTTGTGGATGCAGATGAATAAAGATTCTTGGTAATAGTTTTATTCCAATCATTAAATAATTTAATACCAATTTAATTTTTCTAATTGTTTCTCATACTTAATATTATTTAGGTGCATCGCATCTATTAATGAAGATTTTTCAGTATCTCCAACTTATCCTCAAGATTTTATTTTACCAACACAAATTCTTAAAGAAACGTTAACGAATTTGAATTCATCTAGTACTTATTCTAATTTATCTAATGCTTCAATTGAATCACAGCCCACGACTAGTTCACAATCTACTTCAGAATCACAATCTGGTTCTGCTTTCTTTGAAAATCTTGCTAAATTTCGGTCTCGTGGACGTTTTCCTATTATTTGCTGGAAAAAAGGGCACAATGTATTGATGAGGAGTGGGCAACCAATGGTTGGATTTTTGGGATCAAGAGGATTAGAAGATGAGACATTAATGCGTGAAGTTCTTTCCACCGTTGATGAAGAACATCAAATTTTAGCAGCAACGATGATAAGTAAAGGTTATGATGGGGATGAAATTAATAATAATAGTAATAATAGATTTTCAAAACATTTTGGTGGTTTCTATGAACCATGTGGTATGAAATTATGCGTGTTAGATGCAAGAGGTTATGCCGCAGCTTTTACTAATGGATGTCAGGGAGGAGGATATGAAAATATAGGTATTTATATTTCATTATTATAATTATTGTTCGGAGCATCGTTCCGTTGTCCGCACACGTGACGTAGATCACTTGAAATTCTAGAAATTTCCCGTCTTTTTATAAAAATTTAACGCTCCGGACATATCGCACGATGTGCGTACTTGGATAATGGATATGAATTTAACGTATTTATTAATATATAATCAAACAATACTGTATATAGAAAATTATCCACAAAATACAACTTTACAATTTCTTGGCCTTTCAAACATTCATACAATTGCTGCTTCACATTCCGCTTTATTACGCGCAATCGCAACCAATGCTTCATCACCGAATTGGTTCTCGTTACTGAAAACTACAGGATGGTTAGATCATGTGGCTGATTTACTAAGATCTGCTGGGGGTAAAGAAGGTGTCGTTGGGAAACTTGTTGATGATGATGCTAGTGTTTTAGTAGTATGTAATTTACTATATAATTATCGTATTCGCATTTAATGTTATTTTTACAATCTCATTAATCGATCCCGCTAATGTAATTAAAGCATTGTACAGATGGTTGGGACAGGTAAGGAATTATATTTGTTTTGGTGGTAATACATTTACAAATGTTGATCTTTTTTTCCTTTTATAATAATTCACAAGAACCACACAATTGGTTTCACTGGCTCAAATAATGGTGGATCCGTTTTATCGCACAATTAAGGTTTGTCATAATGTAAAATATTTTTAATCTATATGTAATAGTGTTTTAATAATTTCTTTGAACAAAATTGGATCATAGGGTCTACAAGTGTTAATTGAGAAGGAATGGATTGCCTTTGGACATCCTTTTCGTTCACGTAGTGATCTCCCTAATAATCTTTGTAATAATGATCCAAGGTCACCTTCTAAAATTAAACAAAATTCCCGTAATTTCAAGGAGCCACAAACTTTAGAAACCGCACCAGCTCCCGTGTTTCTTTTATTCCTTACATGCCTTCATCATATCTTAGAACAATTTCCATCTGCATTCGAATATAACGACTTCTTTTTGCTGTGTCTTGCTCGAGCCGCGGCCGGAAATTCTCCCTTTGGAGATTTTTTGTGTAATTGCGAATGTGAACGAGAGGCCATACAATTACGGGAGAGAACAAGAAGTATATGGTCATGGGTTAAAGAACGTAGGCAATGGTTCAGAAATCCATTGTATCAAAGAATTCGTCCATATGACCTAATTCATCATAACGATCACAGTACTTGGAGTGATCATTCGTGGAAAAAGGATGTTTTACGTCCAGACACTGATGCAAGGGTTATTACATTATGGTCTGATTACTATTTCCCCAAAAAAAATGATTTATCAATTGCCTTATTGTCAATGCCTTATTGCGCTGATGTCGAACTAGAAGAAGGTATCGGGCCTTCTCAACATCACATTGGAGGATTTCCTTCAGAATATTATCTTGTCAGCCTTTTCATGAAAAGAAAAAGGCGGAGAATTGCAGAAAAGGTTTGGACAATTTGGAGGTCATTTTTATTAGAAAATAGACAAAAATCACTAAAAGCAAAGAAAGATAGAAAGAAAATTGTAAATGAAGAAGAAAAATGGGCTGTTCTTCGTGGATCAGAGTGGAAAGATGATGAGTTAAACCAATCGCAGGAAACGCAGGATAAAACAAGTATTGATCACGCAAATAAAGACCTTGATAAATCATCTATATTATCCTCATCACAACAATCAACGTGCGAAAAATCGGATAGTTTACTTTCGACTGATTATGATGATGATACAGATGAAATAG